CTGTCCAAAGTATCTAGTAAGGACCAAATAATGAATTTTATAGCAATCCCACAACCTTTTAGATATCAATCATGTAAAATAAATTAAAATAGCATCAGCCCAGGGATAAGAAGTTTCACTCACGTGTAGCCAGTGTAATTTAAGAGTGTATCAGGAAGAAAAGTAACAAGACACATGATCTACCTGGAAGCCAAAGCTAGAAGATGCTAATCCCAAGTCAGCAAATGAGTTATTATATGACCTTGAGAAAATTTGTTTCTCTGGCTAAGAAAGAAAACAGTAATAAGAAGATACTTCTGGAATAAATCTTTAAAATCTGAGCAGGGGGAGTGGGAAGAAGGGAAGAAAGATAAAGACAAGGAGGGGAGAGACAGAAAGGAAAAAACACACATGGGGAACACTGCAAGATTGAAAAGGTGCTGAATAATTATTCTGGGCAAAACTAAAAACAATATTTTGGCTTTAAGAAGTATAGAGCTTAAGAATCAAAATATATTAATACAAGCAAATCAGGCATTACAATAAACAAATGCTTTGTTGGTGGTGGAGTTGAAATCACCATTTAACTTAATCAAACTGCACTCTGAAATAGGCCAGTTTTCCAAAAATGGAAGATTTACAGCAACCAACCAGTTTACCTGATTGGTTTAGTTTACCTGAGCCAGACTGCCAAGGAAGTCCCTATAAGGAAAGTAACTTCAAAGTTACCAATTTCCTTTTTATTCCATGTGTCCTTTCTTCAGTCCTTTTCTGTAGTCTCCCCTACTCAGCTCATCAGAACATTCATTCTATTCATTCTTTTCATTTTTACAGTTTTACAAATTTCTTTAATGGCTGGTTCAGAAGAAGACAGGTCGATTCTCATATCAGCTTCTGCATTACAGAGAATATGTTTGGTTGCTATGGCTGCCAGAATATTCTACACATTCTTTCATAGAAGTGTGAAGGGTTACTTGTTCTAGAACCATAAATAAAAGCCAGTTAGATATTCAAACTAAATTTGTTATGCCTTTTGACAGCATCTGTATAGGAACAGCAAGGATTCCAGAGGGCTGAAATGGAAAAATTGAGAGAACAATTCATAGAAAGCAGAGATAGAAAGTTAGCAGGAAGTCAGATAGAGCAATGTTTCCCAGGCCATGGCAGGGCCTTTGGATTTTACAATGGAGAAATGGGAAGTGTGTAACTAATTAACAAAGTTACACAGTTGTAGATTTGGAACTAAAAGACTCATTGCCTGACCTGTACCTTATCATTTTATTCTAGTCTATTTTGTTAATGTTTTTTTGAACTGAGGTCTTTCTATTTTCCCAGGCTGGCCCCAAACTCATGGGTTCAAGTGATTTTCCCACCTCCACTTTCCAAGTAGCTGAAACTACAGTTGTGCACCACTGCACCTGGTTTGATTCTACAATTTTAAATGGCAACTTTTATTTTTTACTACAATGATGCTCAGATGGGAGGAGAAGAGGACTGAGACTGATTGGATTTTTAGGTTTTCATTTTTTAATTGTTATTTTTTTAAATAATTCAAGCTGGGTGTAGTGGTACATACCTGTAAGCCCAGCATTCAGAGGCTGAGGCAGGAGGATGGGAGTTTAAGTCCAGCCTGGGCTACATAGTAAGACTATGCCTCAATAATAATAATGATGATAATAATAGTCATGACTCAAAACTGAAGATTTTTGATGTAGCGTAAGCCTCCTTCCTACCTTCCCCTCCAACTAGAATTTTGTATGGCCTTCAAGGAGTTAGATTTCAAGTTGACATCCATTCATCAACATTGATGAAGAGTCTACCCTATGCCAGAGGGTATGCTAGGTACTGGTGATGTAACAGATTAAGATGCCCTTTCTCCCTCTCAGAATCTATTGTCTAAAGACTCAAAAATGGTCTAAAGATTTGATTCACAAATATAAGAAAATTTTAGATCTCAAGATAAATGAGGATAATTTTCACCTCCAAAGTATTCATATTGTCTTCCATATAACTTAAGAACTATATAGGACAGGAGAATCAGCACTAACATGTTTAGGGCATGCCAAAATTAATTTTTTAAGACAGGATATCACTATGTAACCCAGACTGGCCTTGAACTTGTGATCCTCCTGCTTCAGCCTCCCAAGTGCTCAAATTATAGGCATGCACCACCACACCTGGCCAAAAATGAATTTTAAAGTGATTTTCTATTCAAATATGAAAAATCCTTAAAATAGCTAGGTCTTCTCTTCACTAGTCTAACCCTGCTCAATCAAACACAGTATATTGAAAGGAAGTATCTTGGATTACTTTAGGAAATCTATGCAAGAAAAAACTAAATGCAGTATCAGGTGTGCCTTTTAAATTTACTACCAAGTAAATGTATTGCCTATTTAAAATTAACACATACATATGTACATATATGTATTTAAACTAGGGTACAGATTTTTAAAACAGATTGAAGATAGAGGAGAATGGGCTACTGCACCCAGCCAGTGGGAGGAAGAAAGTCTGCCCAGGTGTGGAAAAAAGGATCCCAGGGTAGAAGGCAAGTGTCCTTGTATTCTAGTACAAGAATCCCCTGACTAGTGGAACTCTGAGCCACTGGCTTCTTCCTCCTAGGTCTGAATTAAATCATCTGTCAAATAGAAATGACCACATCTTTCTACCTCCTGACTGGGCTGTGAAATAAACATAGACCTTACCTTGCTTCCTTGAGGAACATCTACTCATCCCTGGAGCATCAATTCAAACATCACCTCTGCCTTAAAGCCTTCCTAGGTTTTCCTGGACAGATGGAATTAGTGGCTCCATCCTCTGTGTTTCAAGGAGAAATGTCTATACATCATCCCAGTTTGTTTGCATTGCCCTGTTTCTTTCGATTTCTCCCAGAGCCAAGAAAATGTCTTAAACAGAGTTGGAAGGTCCACAGGGACACCAGTTCACAATTAGGAATTCAATAAATACTTGTGCAACAAAGAGTGAAGGATACATGTAGGGTTTTTGCCTCCATTTCTATATGCTTCATACATGAGTCTGTAAAGAACATAAGATTTTTCTTTCCATTAACAAATGGCCCTGGGATGTAAAATTATTAAAAACCACAAATATGTCATGTTATTTTGATGAAAATATGGATTTTTTCTTTCAAAAACTTTCAATTTCTCCAGGAGGTGTGGCTTCAATAAAACAAAATGTTGCTTTTAAACAAGTCTTGGGAGGGGTGGGGATAATGCATCCTACAGTCTCCACACCTTGTTTTACTCTTTAGCTAGTATCTGGCTCTTTAAATGCCTTAAAATGCTAGACAAATGTTCGCCAGAAGAATGGGTGATCTCCATAGCCCAAATATGGAATCAGCCTAGGTGCCCATCAACCAATCAACAGGTAAAGAAAATGTGGTACACAAGGCAACGCCCCACTGAACAATGGATAGACACTTAAATAATGAAGGGCAGGAATGTAAAACAGATCATGCTAGTGGGAGATTGAATGAGGAGGGTAAAGGAGGGTGAATATGGTTGATGTCTTTTCTACACAGGTATGACTATAGAATATTGAAAGGGGAGGTGAGGGAGAATAATGGAAGGGATGAATCAAACCAGGGTCCATTGTACACATATATGGAAATGTTACAATGACACCACCTGTACAACTATTATATATTAAAATGAAGAAAATATACTATATATACACAATGCTGTATTATTCAGACATAAGGAATGAAATTGTATCATTTGCAGGAAAATGGATGGAACTGGAGATCATAATGTTAATTAAGCAAAATAAGCTAGAATGAGAAAGACAAACATCACATGTTCTCTCTCACATGCAGAAACTAGTACTTAAAAATCAATGGCAGGCAACTTCGAAAAAAGTATCCCAGGTTACTGTATTGAGTTGGCATTGAAATTAATAGCTATATTGGTCTAGAGACGTTAAACTTAATTTTTTCCCATTTGTACAAGGGCACTGTATTCAATATGTAGGTCTTATTTACGTGGGTTTGATTACAGAAATTAACATTCTCTAAATAACGAGAAAAAAAATGAATGTCCGGAACGTAAAACAGGTCTTGTAAGGGGGTGAGTACCAAAGGGAGGCGGGAGGGCAAAAAGAGAGGGTGAAGGGGGGTGAATATGGTTCAGATACTTTACACACATGTCTGAAAATAGAACAATAAACCTGTTGATATCGTTTTAAGAAGAGGGGAGAGGGGAGGAATAAAGAGGGTGAATTTGATCAGGATACATTTTATGCATGCATGGAAATATCACAATGAAACTTTGTACAACTAATATTTGCTAATAAAAATGGTTTTTTTTAAAAAAGAGTTCATTGAGATGGGGGGAAAAAGAATGCTCTATTTAATACTTTTAAGGATGCAAAATAAACTCAAATCTTCATGGGCTCTTCCCAGGGCTGGATGGAGATATTTACGTGGGATCCAGACAAGGAAAATAGAGCAAAAGTGCATGGAAAAAAGACTCCTGTGTAGTTCCAGGCAGTTTCGTTTGGCTGTTTGGAAACTTTTCTTTCAGAAATCGCCAAATTATTGAAGGTGATGACGTAGTGAAGGTCTGAGGTCGGAGATAATATCCACTGTTCCCCCTTAACGCGCTTCTCTGTGCTTTCTACACAACCGTGGACCCCTGAGTTTCCAGCGGTATCCTGGTCTTTCCTGGGCGAGACGCGGGGTGTCCCGCCTCTCCCGGCAAGAGACCGGAGGGCGCACGGACCCCGACTAACGTTTTAGCTCACGGAGAGGAAACGCAGAGCCTCCCGCCCGCCAGCTCCAAAGCGCAGCGGTAGATGCTACGCCTAACTGTGGAGCCTATGGGAACTAACGATACCGGAACTCGACACTCAGGGTGTGTAAACGGCGGAACGGAATGACTGATGTACCGACGCGCCGGGGGCGGGGGGGGGGAGACGGAAATTGAGAGGGCTGTCGGGGTTGGGGGAACTTTGCCTGGGTGGCACTTTCCGGTTCGCGACTCCGCCCCCGACAGAGGGGCTCGGCTCCTAAATTCAAGATGGAGTCGCCGAGTCGGGCTGGGCAGGAGATGAGTTTAGCGGCCCTGAAGCAGCACGACCCCTACATCACCAGCATCGCAGACCTTACGGGCCAGGTCGCTCTGTACACCTTCTGCCCCAAAGCCAACCAGTGGGTGAGTGAGGTCCAGTCACTGGGGACGCCAGCCCGGCCGCCGCCTCTTTAAAGGGGCCGTGCCCGCTGCTTAGGGTGGGAGACCAAGCTGGAGGCCAGCGCGGCAAAGGCGAGGCCAGAGCCTGGCCTGGAGCGGGGTCACATTCTGAGGGGTGATGGGGGCGCGCGGAATGGGGAGGTGGGCAGTGAGAGAAGTAGACCGGAGACATCTCTGGGAAAAGTCTATGGAAGGGAAGATTTGAGCAGATCAATCCCTTGGGGTCGGGTCTGGGGACGTGGTCCACCTGTTTTCTTTACAGATGTATCGAAGGATAGCTGTGAGACCGGTGGGATCAGAAAGGTCCCCGAAAACTTGTGTTTGAGACTTTGAAGATTATTAAATAAATTACATATACATAATTTACAAAATAAACACCCTTCCTGTCCGCCCAACAAACGTAAATAGGAGCCCCCTTTGCAGAGGTCATTGGATTTGAAGCTTGAAATCCAATTAGTTTGAATTCTTGGAAGAGAGAGGGTGGAGTCAGTTCGCCTTTAATTGAACTACACCCTCTATACCCTTTTCCAGAGTTTTGGGAAAAATTTTAGGGCACTTAGAGAAAGTATTTCTCTGTTAATTGGATTCTCAGAGACCTTTTACAGGGAAAAAACCAGTGATGTCACTCAGTACTCCCATCGGACTAAGTACTTTTTGGCTTTTGTGCACCAGAGGATGCAAAAAGTTACTCGTTAGCCTGTGCTTGAAGCTTCTTTAGTTGTTTCCACTGACTTGTTAACCTCTGCTTGAAAACTTCTCTAGATGTTTACATAATAATCCCGTTTCCTTGTAATTGACTCTTTTCTAATTAACTCGTTCAACTATAAACTTCACGTTTATAATCTGTAATTGTTGGCTGGATTTAATTCATCAGTGATTGGCGTCCACATTTCCATAAGTAATGAAATCCTTAAGGTAACAAAACTGAAACATCAGCGTAATGTTTATTAAAAAATAAAACCCATGCGCAGATTATAGTACTTTTGTGGAACTTATTTGGCTTTCGTGAACAGTTCATTCAAATTAAGAGTTTTAATAATCATCTTTCCACTTCCTGGAAGAGAAAGAGGTATGGGAGGTCACAAATAATAAAAGTATAGATTGTTTTATAAATACAGCTCTTTTAGACATTGCCTTCATTTGAAGTGCTTTCAATCATTTTTCTTAACCTATATATAAATTTGTGAAATACAGATTACAAATGGTGAAGATTTGAGGCTAAGACTTACTACCTAACTTGTAGTTTTCACAAAGACTTTCAGCATTTTAGAATTTTAAAGTTCTGTTTTAAATATTGAATAGAAACTGTAACAAACAATTGAAAAGTAAGATGTTGTTTGTTTATTTGGATCATGGTTCATAGCACAAATCCATTATCTTTTTTCTTTTATTTTTCAGAGAGTTGTAACTTTGCACAATGTTTCAGAGGAGGCAAATTTTCTTTTGCTGTGAGGCAGTTGATTACCAGTTGGTTTTTTTATAGTAATTGATTTTAATTTAATTTTTTTATTCCCAAAACTTCAATGTGATATGGCTGACATTAAAGTTTGTTCATTACATTAAAATATTTAGATCCAGTCTAGGCCATGAACTACAAACTGGTTTCATTATTTTTATTTTAAAAAAAACAACACTATAACTGGTTAAAACTGAAGTACACTCTTAGTAAGTGAAAGATAGCAATGAGTTATGCTTTCTTGGATTTTTTTGTTTGTTTTTTGTTGAGATGCTGGGGATGATGAGATGAGATGAGAGCCTTGAGGATGTTAGGTGAACACTCTATCACTGAGCTACAACCCCAGCTCAATTTATACTTTCTTAATCCCATTTTTACTTTAATTTTTTTGTTTGTTTGTTTAATTCCTGCTAGGAGCATGGCTCAAGTTGTAAAGTGCTTGCCTAGCGAGCATGAAGACCTGAGTTCAAACTCTAGTAGCACAAAATTAATTAATTAATTCTTTGTAAATCCTATAATAATCACTTAAGATAGAGTGGTAGTTCCAGCATCCATGATTCTTCAAAAGTTCTAAAAATAACAGTTTGATAGTGAGCCTAGCTAACCATAAAAATTGTTACTCTTGAAAAATTCCAAAATACTCCAGTGATGAAACAAAGTATCTTCTAAGAAAATCTTTTTGTGTTAATTTTGATAAACTTTTATTAAAGTGAAGAAATTGCCATACACAGAACCTTGAAATCTAATCAAAACATTTTAGCTTTTAGAAACTTCACTTTTTCTGCTTTGCTAATTAAAAAATCAAAAATGTTACAGATATAGTAATGTTGAATGTCGCACATACTTTTGTGTGCATCAACAGTATTAAATAGATATATAAGAAACTAGTAGTAGCAATTTGTGGAAAGGAAGACTTGCTTTACCTGTTTAAAAGTGATTAATTTCACAGTAAATAAAACAAGTTGATCTTCTCCATTAGGATTACTTAGGGTTGGATTATGAGGAAAAAACTAATAGACTTATTTATCTGTTATAGGAGAAGACTGATATAGAAGGGACCTTATTTGTATATCGAAGGTAAGGTTTTAAAAATACGGAGTTTTTTTTTTTTAATGGTCATATGAAACCATTTCATAATCATGAAATGGTTCATTTCTGTTGTGTATTTATTTGTCTTTGGAACCTTCCTGTTTGTCCCCTTCAAGTTTTCATCCATTCCTAGCTGTGAGATCCTAACAGCTATTTCCCATCTCTGATTCAGAATGAACAGAAATAGAGTATAGGAACCTAGCAAAATGGTTTCAGGCCAGGTGCCAGTGGCTCACACCTGTAATCCTAACTATTTGGGAGGCTGAGATCAGGATGATTGAGGTTTGAGGCCAGCCTGAGAAAATAGTTTATAAGCCCCTATCTCCAAAATAACCAGAACAAAATGGACTGGAGGTGTGGTTCAATTGGTAGAGTGCCTGCTTTGTAAGCACAGAGCCCTGAATTCAAACCCCAGTCCCACTTAAGAAAAAAAAGAGAGAGAGAGATTTCAAATAGGAAGCATTTCCTAATAAGAAATAAATCGGAAACAGATGCCTGCCTCCCCCTGTATTATCTATGAGGAAAATATAATAAATACACTAATTCTATAAAGTAAAGTAATGGAGAGGTTGGTCCCTCTGGTCTGTGCTTTCTAAATGAGAAGTCCCTTTTGTGACTGGTTCTGCCTCTTTCTAGCCACCATCCCCCCCCACCCCCAAAAAAGTTCTGGATTATGTACTTTAGTAATAGTATTTTTAGTTTGAGAGTTCTTTAGAAAGCCTGGATTACTCATAGTTGTACATTTTTTGTTGTCAGTTTCTCTAATAAGAATTATTTTAAAATGTGACTGGTTTGTAACTCTGTGTTGTTGGGCAACATAGGAGCCCTAAAGGTAACTGAGAGTCATAGAATGCTTGATGTCCTGGATTCCTCTAGGTCTTGTTCTAACAGAGGCAGGTTCCCCTTGTTTTCTACAGCTTAGGAGGCAGCAGGAGGAGTCATTACTGGCATCTGGTTTTTTGTTGTTGTTGTTTTGTGTGTGTGTGTGTGTGTGTGTGTGTGTGTGTTATCTTTTAAAGATTGCCTTTCTCCATTGCTGCTAATTTAAAAGATTTTATCAAATATTCTTCTAAATTTTGGTGTAAAGCTTTGAAATCTTGTCTAAACACATCTTTATTTTTTTAAGGTGGTTTTTTTTGTTTGTTTGTTTATTTGTGTGTGTGTGTGTGTGTGTGTGTGCACTGGAGTTTGAATCAGGGCCTCACACTTACTAGGCAGGTACTCAACTGCTTGCACCACTCCACCAGCCCCACATCTTTCTTTTAAGTGTAACTGCTTTGGTATTTATACACCAGCCTCTTCTTTCTTTTACCACTTTGTTTCCTGTTAATCATTTTTGTCCTTTAAAAAAAAAATCTTCAGAAAACCCCTTCATTATTCTTAATTAGCAATATAAATCCAAGAACTCTTAAATGTTATTAGAACCATATTATCTCTGATATTTGGAAAGTATTACTGGCCGTATTGTTAAAGTATAGAACAGACCTATTGATTATAGAAAATGTGAGATTTCATAAAGTGAGTGACTTTAGTTTAATCCAATTCAGAGAGGCTTATCTGACATTGATTCTAATAAAAAAGAGACTCAAACTATTTGGGAAATACAAGAACATTCTGTATGCCTTGGATGATTATACCAGCATGTCAGATTATCACTTTGCAGTAATCACTTAGAGGAATCCTAGATTTGGAGCTTTTTAAAACAGGAAGAAAAAAAAAAACCCAGCTGAATCTCAGTTACATTATTTCTGTGGTTTTGGGCACAAGCCTTAATCATGCTAACCTTGTTTCCTAGTTTGTAGAATAGGGTTCTCTTGTCTCCCCATGTACATCACAAAGAAACAAATGAGAAGTTAGGATGTATTAGATACAGGTGAAGAGTGTCCAAAGGATTGTAAACTGAATCCCCTGATGGGGACTAAGGATGTTCATGTTGTAGGAGTCAAGTCATTTTCCATCTAACTTAAGAAAACTGTGTAAAGACATATTTGAGATAAGAAATTATTACTATAATGGTGGATAGTCATTATTGCTAGTTCTATACCACATTTTAAATAAATAAAAGATATTTCTCCCAGCAAATATTGATCACATGTACTGTGTGTCTATCTTGGGATACATCTATGAGAAATAAAGCAAAAATCCCCATGTGTGTGGAGCTTACATTCTAGGGGTAGGAGAAAGACTATTAAAAAATACAGATGAAGAGAAAAGGGTTAGAGGTATTAAGGTTGGGACCATTAAAAGGGGTAGTTAGTTCTGGTAGTCCCCAATGAGAAGGTGACATTGGAGCAGATACTTGCTGGAGTTGGGGTAGCTGTGCAGATTTGGGGACAGTGGTCCAGGCACAGGTCCTTAGGTACAAAGAAAGTGGCATGGAGCCCAATGTGGCTGAAGCAGGGGAAGTAAGGAAAGAAACATAGGAGATGAAGTGGGGGTGGGTATAAGGACATCAGATAGGGCCTTATTGGCCTTGGTAAGGACTTTGGTCTTTATACTGAGGAACTGAGTCCTTGAAAACTTAGGGACAGAGGAGGAATATGACCTAACTTAAATTTTTTTTTATGCTTTTAAGTGCTGGTAATATTGTATAATGTATTAATGTATTAATTCCTTTTTCGTGGTATTGGAATTTGAGCTCAGGACCCCACACTTGCTAGGCAGGTGCTCTGCCATTTAAGCCAGGCCTCCATCTCACTTTTTAAAAAAAAAGATAAAGTAGTAGATAACATTTCTGCATATTAAAAGGTAACTGGATTTTCTTCTTTTAAATCTAAGGTCAGCATCACCTTACCATGGTTTTACCATTGTAAATCGACTGAATATGCACAATCTAGTTGAACCAGTGAATAAAGATTTGGAATTTCAGCTCCATGAACCATTTCTTCTTTACAGAAATGCAAGCTGTGAGTATATCTGTTTTCATTTATTATTGAGTGACTTTATTTTCATCACATTATTTTTGGAGTTTCAAATTACAGTACAAAATACTGCTTATACTCTGTTTTATGATTATAAACAAGTCTCTCAGTCAGGATTTTTAAGCTGGCTCTAAAATTTGCATGTAATAGCTTACTATTTTAATTAACTATACTATTCTGTTTATTAGCATTATATTTGTTTTTATTTTTTGCAGCACTGGGGTTTGAACTCAGGGCCTCACCCTTGCTAGGCAGGCATTCCACCACTTGAGCCACTCTGCCAGCCCTTTTTCGTGTTGGATATTTTCAAGATAAAGTCTCGAGAACTATTTGTGGGGGCTGGCACAAACCGCGATCCTCCTGATCAGCTAGGATTACAGGTGTGAGCCACCACAATCAGCACTTTTTTTTTTTTAATGAAAATAAGTTTTCCTCCTTTGTTTTTGTTTTATCACTGAACTCTTGGCTGACATGCCCCTGAGCATCAGAACTTGATTTGGGAGACACAAGATGGGAACAGATACTGATGCTTCTTTCTACATAGAAATGCTGTCTTTGCCCTGAACAGTGATGTTTTGAATGTCTACTGGATGCGAGTGCTACACCAAAAGCTATTGTGCTTCAGTATTAAAGATGCAGTGACCTGTATGGGATAGGGAGGTAATTTAGTCCACTGAAACTCAGAGATGCATGATAGACACTTAGTTGGAAAGTTAGGACTATAACCCTTTTTCAGCTTCCTAGTCCAGGGTCTTTTCAGGCATTTTAGAGATCCAATAATGACTGAGTGAAGTCAGCAATGCTTAGAGTGGCCCTTTCAATAAAAGTACAGTATGGTTGTTCCCCAACTTATCATGGGGTTACTTCCTGATAAAACCATCTTAAGTTGAAAAATGCACTCAGTAGAGCTAAACTAACATACTTCATAGCTTAGCGACATAGTATACCATATATTGTAAGGTGTCAGTTTTCTGTTGTATGATGTGGCTGACGGGGAGCTCTGACTGGCTGCTGCTGCCCAGCACCACAAGACAGTATCATACTGCATACTGCTAGCCTGGGAAAAATTCAGAATTCTGACTACTGGTTTTACTAAATGTGTATCGCTTTCACTGTAAAGTCAAAAAAAATCTTACGTAAATAAGGGATCATCTGTACTAAAAAGTATACTCTGAGGCTGAAGTGTAGCTCAGTGGTGGACACTTGCCTAGTGTGTGCCCCTGGCTTCCATCCAGCACTGCAAAAAGAAAGAAAAGAAAACAACATGTTCCAGTATTTCAGTGCGGGTATGAAAAGTATGGATAATTGACGACAGAAGGTAGTCACTTGGGCATTGACCATAACGATATCAAAACTGGTTATGGTAACAGAGTAGTTATGCTCACCTGAGGGTATTGAGGGACAAATGCTGTTTTAAACTTAAAAAGTAAAAGTTACTGTGTTCAAATTTTACTTGACTGAGAAGTAATTGTTATTGGAAGATGTCTTCAGTATAAAACATAAAAAACCACTAGATAGTACATATTGTTTAATTCCCTGAATGAGCAAAGTCTTCTTTGTTGGAGGCCACAAATTCTTCTTCACTCATTTTTAAATATCTGAATGAAATAGGGTTTATCACTTGACTTTTTGGTAAATTATTTGTCAGATAATTACCTTTCAAATTTTAAATTCTGTGGTGGACATACTGGAAATGCTTTTTCAATACCTGTGAATTCAGATGGATTCATTTGAAAGCAGAGTCAAGGATAAAAGTAGAGTTGTTTCTCATGGCTGATTTGTTTGTGGTAAACATTCCATTAAGGGAGAAATTCTTCAGAGGAACACAGATCCAATTTATTTTTAAGAAATGAAATTATCTTAAGTATGTTCTTTTCTACCTGGAAACTCAATCTGTATTGCTTCTAATAGTTGGCAAGGGAAAATTATTAAGAGACTTATGGACCTAATTACCATTAGTATAAGGCGTGTAGTGAATTGTATTTCTCTCACAAGTAAAGGAACCAGTGAAATTAAACGTATGACATATAATTGAACCATGATCATCCAGAACCTAATTTACTAGAGTTTCAGTTATTTGGAAATAATTTGTGCAGAACAAATGAAGGCAGATTGTAAGCAAACAAGCTAATGTCAGGAATTCTTGTTAGTTTGTTGGGTTTTTTTACGTATTTGTATTTTCTTTATTTTGGTGGTACTGGGGTTTGAACTTAGGATCTTGCGCCTGGTAGGCAGGCATTCTACCACTTGAATCACACCTCCAGCTTAAATACCAGGTTTTATTTTGTGAAAACATTGCAGGTATCTGTACTATAGTCAAAAACAACAAAAAATGTTAATGTTCTATAAGTTTAACCCCAATACAGTATTGTGATTAATTTGTTGTAGTAACACCTTAAATCATCAGGAGTATTTATTATCATGCTTATTAGAATATTCTTGAGGAGAAAAGTCAATTAATGCATTTTGGTTTAGAAAGATTTTCAACAGAGGCCAGAAACAAAGGTTTCCTTGTTTGAACAGGAAACTCACCTAACCAGGTCATTCCGTTGGGGAAGGTATTTAAAGAAAGAGCTTTCTCAGAAAGAAATGACAAGACAGCATTCAGTGATATTGGGAATTTAGGCCTCTCTTGAGTGTGTAGAAAAGTTTAAAAAAAAAGTAGAAAATAGTCTTGTCAGGTCAGTAAGCTGTTGAGTTGTTTAGGGATTTGTTCTTTAAATAAAAAGTAGTATCTGATGATGCATATGGGTAATTATACCTGGTTCTGTAGCTCTCCTTTTGTTGGGTCTCCTGAGGGAAATAGCCTCCAAGACACCTGACCCATTTAATTCAAATTATACCTTCATATCCAGCTTCATTCATTCAAATCAAGTTTTAGAGTTAGTGTAACATACTATTGAACTATAACTTTTTTCAGTTACTTTTTTAGTTTGTATTTATGCAAAATGCCTACCCACATTCTCCACTCCTAAGAAAAAGATGAAATGTTACAGAGAAAATGCTTTCATTAACTAAGGACCTAGGTTTAATAATTCTCTCAGGTCTTTCACGAGCACTGTACTTTCATTATGCACAAGGACCTTCTGGCAGCCACAAAGGCTGTAATGGGCTTCAGTAAAGAATAGGGGGATTACAGATTGATCAGTGGTAATATTCTCATCGCCTGAATTCTGATTGCCTCTTTATTGAGGAAACAAGATGTTTAGAAATTTGCTCAAGAGTCACAGAGGTACTAAGTGAGAGATGTAGAATTCAAATCTAGGACTGTTGTTCTGCAAAGCCAGTGTTCTTCCCAGTACTGCAATAGTAAAATTATATAATTCATCAGTCCACATTGTAGAGCAGTGCTGTCCAGTGGAACTCTGCAATGATGGACAAGTTCTAAACCAGCACTGTCTGATATAGTGGCCACAAGTGACTAACTACTGAGCACTTGAAATGTGGCTAATGTGTATGAAAAATTAAATTTTTCAGTTTATGTAATCCCTTTGTGTTTATACAGCTATACGCACTGGTGGCTACAACATTGAATAAAACTCGTAACACATGAATCTGTACACTAACATACCTTTGGTTGTATCATGCCTGAATCAAAAATCACTTGGGAAGCTTTGGGTTAGGCTTTAAATCCTTAGTCATTCTTCTTGAAATTTATACATGATTTCTAGATACAAAAGCTGCAGAATATATTTCTGAGGGTGGCTTTGCCATGGTAACACTTTTTTGGCATAGAATTTTGTTTGCATATCTATTCATTGCATTGCCATTTTACCAACAGTAACCCAGGATAAGTCATTTAAACCACTGATCTGACCTGCTTGTATTGAAAAAACATCATGAACATAAGATATTTTTGTCAAGCACATATAAATATAAAATATATTAGATTATGTCTCCACTCTAGACTCAAACCAAATGATCTTACTAATGAAACAGTTGTAGGGACTTCAGTATATCAAAGTTCTTTTGTAAGCTAGGCCTGTAGTGTGCTTCTTCCTATCCCTTCTGACTAGTATTGTAGAGGAGCTAGAGACTCTGGTGTTTTTTTTTTTCTCTCTTTCTGTCTTTTTGTAGTATTAATGTTTGAACTCAGCACTTAACACGTGCTAGGCAAGCACTGTACCACTAAACTACACCCCTAGACCTCTTTGTTTCTCTTTATGAATATTATTTTCAAATGTTTTAGGAGCCATTACTAGACAGTCTGGTATATGGTAAGTTGGAAAAAATATGTATATTACAAATGAGAAATCTTAAGCTAAATTTGGTAGTACATGCCTGTAATCCCAGCTACTCAAGATGTGGAGGCAGGAAGATCGCAAATTTGAGGCCAGCCCAGTACTGCAGCCTTGTCACAAAAACAACATAAAGGATTGGGGGCATAGCTTAAGTGCTAGAGTACTTGCCTAGCATGCGTGAGGCTCTAGGTTTGATCTCTAGTACCTCAAAGGAAAAAGAGAGAAAGAAATATTTGAGGATACTTTTGGTTTGGGGGGAGTACTAGTGATTAAACCCAGGGCCTAATACATGCCAGGCAAGCACTCTACCACTGAGCTACATCCCCAGCCCCCTGACTGTTGGGGGCGGGGCCAGCAGTACGGGGTCAAACTTTTTTTTCTTTTCCCCCCTAAATTTTCATTGGAATAAATCTAATGATTAGGTAATGGTGTTACAGAGTTCTGTGTAAACATACATTATCACCAATCTACTGATCTGTTTTCGCTTTTAAACAGAATCCCTTTGAGTAACTAACTAGATTATAAAACCATTCCTTGAAGATTCTAAACTTCTAGGAGTTCTAACACATAGGCACATTGACGAAAATACTCAACTATTGTCCAGCAATACCTAGACAGAAAATCTGCCCTCTATAGACATTTAGAAATGTTAGAAACACAAATGTCACAAGATTTCTCTCATGTGGAATCTAGGAAAGAAAAAAGACATGAAAGTAAAAGGAGGACTATTGGAGATACAGAAAA